TCTCTCTCTCTCTCTCTCTCTCCACCTCCTTCTCCCTCTCCCCGTCTGACTTTCCCCCTCTCTCCCTCTCCCCCTCTCTCTTTCCCCTCGTCCAATTCTCTTTAAGCTTTCTGTTTACGATATACCATTTCTTCTTTCATTTTCAAATGTAACCCCAACTTTCTACCTGTCTACCTGTCTCCGTTTTCTTGCACTCATCAAGGACAGACAAACACCGCCTCGTACGTCAATACAGTTGTCCCATTTCGCCCGCAGTATCTATCCGGAGACGTCTCCGACGGAGATAGACCAATCAAAATATAGCTTTCTGCCTCTAGACCAAGTACAAATGTCTGGAGGGTTACAGAAGGAAGGGGGGGGGTGTCTCATGTTTTAACACATAGTTTGATATTTTGCTGTTAGGTTTGAAATTTTCTTGAAAATAATTTATTTGCGACAGTTTTAGTGGCTATATGTGTGATCTGCAGCAAACAATACGCAGTTTGACCTCCCAAAGCAGTGCATCTGTGTGCGGAAGTGCGTCTCCGAATATTTAGTTCCTGGGTGCTTGCCCGGAGACGTCTCCGAATATTAACTTCTGCCCATTCCGCCACCTCGTCGTCCGCGCATTAATCTGTGCGTGAGCAGCTCAACGCACAAGACAAGCACACAACAATAACTGTCTCTTGAGCTCACGCCGTCCGTTTGTCCGTCTGTCAGTCAGTCACATCAGCTCTACCCGTGCTGGTGTGGAATGAAGCGTAAAACTTTCCGTCATTTTGACTTGTGCGTCTCGGAGGTCAACTCGTCAGATCTGGAATTTTCCTGCATGATGTGAGTGCTGAAGGTGAGTTGACTGTTTCAATAGTCAATTTATGTGAAGCGTGCTGACAATATGAGTTACTTCTCGGATTCTAGCCCGACGGAAATAGATGCATTAAAAATTTATAGGTTGAGTTGTTACAATTTATTAGTATGAAATTATTAAAGACATGTAAAATTTGAAGAGAATGGCTTTGGTTTAGAATTGACAAATATGACCCTTTTGTCAATTTTTGGCTAATATCTCCATCTTTGATTGCGAGAGGTAACTGATTTTATCAACACGCTTCACAAATGGTCGCCTTTAAGGACAAGCGGGCTAACCCAGATTTCGGGAGTTTCCAGAAATCTTGACCTACATCAAAAGTGGGTATTGCCCTACCTATAGGAGAAGTTTGGTTTCATTGGTGTGTATATTTGTTTGGCAATAGAGAAAACTTTCCTTGTCTTTTAAAGAAATTGAACAACGGGCGAAAACTTAACCTTCGATTTTTTCAAAACAGCATTTTTTTAAACTGCCCCCTTGTGCTTAAAAGCTACCAAATACAGGACGGCTAGATTTAAGAAAAATAAAAGGGCTCTTTGGCAATGACTTTTGATAGTATTCTTCTTTATTCTCAAGTTTGACAATGTAATATGAATTGATTGTCTTAGTATTATGTCAGAAGAAGAAACAAAACCGTTTTACATCCAACGATAAATAAGCAACATTTCCTCTGTTGTTTCGTTGTCTTGTTGTTGTTGTTGTTGCTGTTGT